TATTTATAGAATTTTGACATTTCATTATTTTATTGCAAGTTTGTAATTAAAGAAATTGTAACATGACAATGAACAAGACAGAGTTCCTTACCGGTTCTTCTCTGACAAGATCTTGTTTTTGTGAACCGGTGTACATTTAGACGTTCATAAGAGCTTTAAAGCCTGATTTGATTAAAGTTTTGATTTTGACTTCAATTCTTCCAGGTGTTATGCATTCATTCATTCATTTTTTGAACGTGGTAGAGCCATGCTACAGCTATATTAGTAGTATAGTTGTAGCACGAATGGGTCGGCACGACCGGGGAAGGACCACACTCTCACCGAATACCAGCGTAAAATAGCCGCTAAACGCTGCTGTGTTTCGTATGGTGAGTGTAGAGAACCGGAGACCCTTTTTACTGGAGAAGAGGCATTCCATCTTAGTCCTCACGGATGACAACGCATCTGCATTTGGATTCGCAAACGAGGATAGATGTAGATGTCTATGGGCTACAGCAAGCACTTACCATCAGGTGGCCTGTGTGCTCGTTTGTCACCCTTATCCTATAAAAAAAATATAACAATAATAATACGTTTTTCGTATATATACCCATCCAAATGTTTTACATCCAAATTATTCGACCCCAAGGGATTTTAAATCGATTTAAATTTAAATTTCGGACAAAGTATCTTAATTTTGAAACGTACATTTTAAAGTACATTAAATTATTTTATTATACATTGCTTTATTTACATCCGCGTGTAGACATTACACGTTAGATAATACGTTCACTGCTACCTGTGACCGTAGTGTATTTAACCTGTTTTTTCTTAACCTAACGGACATCAAATTGTACAACAGCTTGAATTCAATTTAAGACGGTGATGTGTTGTAAAAAGTAAAGATGGAGGAAAAAATCAATCAGGACTCGATGTGACAGCAGGGTATTGTGGTCTGACTGGCGTGGTTAAAGGGGCCAGAGAACAGAGAGGCGCGGAGAACCGCATATTAACGCGGAATGACCATAAAATGATTGAGACCCGTGTGATGGTGTCAGTAGATTTTAGGGGGATAGAGATTCTCAAACATTTTAAAAATGGAATAACTTATACTTATTAAAAAAAGACAAAATTCTGTGAAAAGCTGATATACAGAGTAGCGCGTTGTGATGAAGTAGTATGAACAAAATTTAAGCTATAAGTCAGAGGAGAACTTTACTCAATGGACGCTTGTCATCGATTTTGAACAATACAAAAGAGTAAGTACGTGAAGGAAATACGTGGTAGAGCTTAGTAAACATAGAAGGCGTACTCCTTGGTGACCGTGAGCCGCGCGCCAGAGTACAACCCTTACTATTGTGTTCAAATCCCAACGTGAGTTAATATATAATCGTACATATATATGCAAAAACAAAGTATTAAAGGCTCTGATTTTGTTGTAGTTGTCTTCATGTCTCCGACGACTTTCGATCTTATATATTAATAATAAGTGTAATAATAAGTGTTTCATTTAAACATGTGTAGGAAAATACCAGTGATTCTCTATATAAGTGCGTATTTCTGTGATACTATAACATCTCCTGACATGAACCAAACTTTCAACATTATTCTGAATATGTCAACATACTTCGTTTCCTCTTCTTCTTCATCCGCTCGCAGAAGTTCACTGCTGGATATGACCCTCTCCAATTTTAAAGAAGATTTACCTAAATCGTCACGCGCGGATTAATAATTACAGTACTAGACATCTCGTACCTTTGATGCTGCTGACAGTCTATCAAATCAAGTCTGGGTATGTATGACATGTCTGACGTAAAAGACATAGTATACCCCCATCTACTGAAAGCCATAAATCACCTCTTACAACAGCTACTGGATTAAATAAAATGATGGATTCTAGAGAATCCATAGTAAGATACTTTTGATTCGGAAAAATCCAAGCACGCAATTGCGTACTTTTTGTTCTTCCCTTTTTCGAAGTTTGAATTTTTAATAGGCATTGGAAAAGATAAGATTTATATTTATATATATAGCAACACACTTTTTTTTGACTCATAAATATTTGGCGTCAAATTTTAAAATAGAGGTTTTACCTTTATTGTATAGTATATAGTATAGTATATATTATTATTTCGTGCACTGTATAGTACTTACAATTCACATGACATATGCAATAAATAAGACAAGCTTAGTCGTCATTCGATTTCGGTCATAAACTATGGACTATGAGAGTCAGAATATTTAAAAAAATTCAATGTCTGCGATTCTTAGAAAAACGTTTGAAAGGTCGTTACATGGCGATGGCAAAGGCGATACATGAAACAATCTAGTGCTTTATCACTGTGACTTAGTATTAAAATATTGGTGGCAGAATTTAGTATCGAGTTTATTCAATGTTGAAAAATAAATGCTGCTGAAACCACATGAGTGTGGAAATAAATAATTAAAGATTTAATTGTGGTACAAACTTTTTTATTTAAAAGCACCACATCGTATATGGGTTATTTTATATAACTGTCTAATTTCGACTTCAATGGTTATAAACGTATAAAGTTTAGGAATCACGGGTAATTTTCCTAGAATGTCGTAACTGAGTAAATCAATTACTCCGTGATGTTGATTTGTTGGACCCAATGCTGTGCCCCATGAATCTTTTAATTAGCTGCCCACTCGACCAATCAATCACTTCTTCATAGTTTAATTTAAAATGATTACTTGCCGTTCCTTTGCGTGAAGGGAATTAGCTGTGATTTGTTTTTTACTAACTTTTCTTTACTTATATTTAAACCCTTATATGTGTATCCAATGTGGTGCATGGTGGCCCTATCGTACGTCTGTTGATGCCATCCCCTTGCCTATTTTATGGCAGTAGCAATGCAGTGTGCAGAATGCATCCACTGCAGTAAGAGAGCAAGTACAATACAGATATACGCGGTGCATCCGTGGCACGTTTTGTTTGAAGTTGATCATAGGTGGCACAGGGGGGGGGGCCGGAGTTGGCTTTTACCATCAGTCGAATCATCGTTTTTTATATGATTAGGGTGATAAACAAGCACACAGTCCACTTGATGGTAAGTGGTTGCTGTGGCCCATAGAAATCTACATTTATCCTCGATTACGAATCAAAATGCAGTTTTAAACAGTGGTAGAGCCACGCGGCAGCTTTTGCTGTCGCAAGGATGGGCCGGCTCGAACCGGGGTGGTACCACGACCTCACAGAAAACCAGCGTGAAGTAGAGGTTTACCTCTGCGTTTCGCTTGGTGAGTGCAGGTGGCCGGAGGCCCTTTTTACTGGAAATGAGGCATTCCATCTTAGTCCTCACGGGTGACAACGCATCTACATTTTGATTTGTAATAGAGGATAGATGTAGATGTCTATGGGCCGCAGCATCCACTTACCATCAGGTGGACTGTGTGCTCTTTTGTCACCTTTGTCCTATAAAAAAAAATGCAGATGCATTGTCACCCTAGTTTGCAGTAAAAAGGTTGTCCCGTTCTCTACAGTCACCATATGAAACACAGCAGCGTTAAGCTGCTATATTACGCTGGTATTCTGTGAGAGCGTGGTCCTTCACTTGGCGAGCCGACTCATTCGTGCTACAACTATACCAGTAATGTAGCTTCAACATTGCTCTACCACCTGTAATCTTGTTTTCACAGTAATTTTAAAAAGGTCTTATAAACCTTTTAGTGACTTGCTAAATGCTGTACCGAATTATGTGCTGCATACATTTATACATAAACATGTAGAGGCTGTCTGTGTCATTGTAAGATTTTTCTCTATCTATTTTGACATAGGGTACCATATTATGTGGGTTTTCTTACGCAGTCATTACACGGCGATATATTTTTTTTCTATTTATTATAATGATAAGTTAATCACTCTAACATAATGAATAATTCCTCAATTTGTAAATACGATTAAATATAGTTGAAAATAAAATACATCACATACATATTCATTAAATATGGGTATACTACAATATGGAAATGACAATGACATTTAATTTACTCTAACTATAGTATCATCATCACACGAATAGTTACATAATTACGATATTATTAATAAAAGTAACAAAAATATAAATAGGCATAGGTATAATATAAAACGTAAAATTTAGGAAGGAACCCAATCTTCCAAGTTTCTACCTTAGAGTTCTGCGATAGCAATAGTTAAATATGTGCCCCTATGTACATGGAAGAAATTACCACTCCAATTGAAAACGTTATGCGTACTGCTTATTGTAATTTAAGCCGTGAAACATTGAAGGGAAATATAAGAAAATCATCCAAAAATTGTTACATAGTTCATATTGCGTTCAGCAGAGGAGTGGAATAATTTTCCAGCATCTATCTTTCCATCCGATAGTCGTCTTATATAGGTATCTTCAAGGTAAGAGTGAATAAGCCTCTATTAAGCTGAGTCAGTGCGTTTTGCCATTTTCAGCTGCATCACCATTGGGATAGTCAAGCACTGACATACAAGTTATAAAATAGTCCGAAGTTAATAAAAAATACCACTCATTTAAGAGACTTTCATAAAGTTGCACACATTATTGTATATATATATATATATACAACATTAGGTACATTTCATTTTACGGATTTTTATTAATACGAGTGTTAGTTTTAGTTACGTAAATGAGATACAATATCAGAAATCATGACTACCAACCCATTTATAATTAATGTACTTGATGCTACTTGAGTCCGTTACCGTTATGTACAGCCTATTGAACACAAGTCTCACCCCTAGATTGCTTCATAAGGGAGATATTTGCCATAGCTACCATGCTTGGCAAACGGGTTAGCAACCGCAGTTTTATTATTTTTAGTCGTTATGTATTAAGAAGACGCTGCTGCCCATCTCCTGATTTGTTTCCCTCTGTCGCCTCTTACTACATCCACATGATATGGGGTAGTAGATATTCTTAAACCGCAACTACACAGTAAATGTAATTGAGCAACCGTGTATTATTAACAATAAGTAACCATTGTTGTTGTTTTTTTTTGTAACACAGTATCATCACAAATGAGCCTCGCTGCAAGTGGCGTCTTGTTCAGAGGCATGGATCGAGCCTTCTGCGTAAGGATGAAGAGTACACTCACTAAGCGTGGCTGTCATTTTAAGTCATCTGGATACAGGGTAAGAATAACCTCAATTGCCTTTTGTACCAACTGGAGTTTTATTGAAGTCTTTAGCTTGTTCTTCTTCCGCTTTATATCTTCCTCACTTCTTTATCATAATGTAGATAATAATTTCATTTTTGGTTGTAATTTGGTTTTGTTGTTTCTCTCTGAAATGCTTATATAATTTTAGTAAACCCGCAGTTGGTACTAATAATAAATAACCACAATAAATGGTAAAAGAAATATTTACTTACTGTATTTAAAAAAAAACAAATCACTTAAGTCTTAAACATTATGATAAATTAAAGTGGTCTTAAAATGATATCATTGGTTACCATTGTAAGAAAAAATTATGACATCCGCGTCATTAGACACTGAAAATTTGTGGACATTTTATTTCTTATCTAGTTTGTAGAATGAGAATTAAATGGACGCTAAATTTTCATTTTCAATGTAGGTTGGGAGAAACAAGGAGGGGGAAACGTCCAGATACGGAGAGAGTGGTAGCTGGCGGGTTGGTATCTATAGCAAAAAATTTAATCAAAATAATTATACTGTCTCATCTGTTGATAAGCATCCGATTTGGGTGATGATAGAAATTATCAAATTACACAATTAAAATTTTAACGTCTCTTTTATCTCGTCTTATTGTAATTTTGTAAATTCTTACTGAACGTACTAATATTGAAACTAACATAGACTGGAAATTTATATATTATAATCGAACTACTTGTAGGACCTAACAAATAGCAGATATTTTTAATAACTTAGGCGCTCTAAATTTCCATAAAGATATTTTAATTAACACGTCATATATTTATCTACACGCTTTAATGTTTTAATATTAATGTAGTCAGATAAAGTTTCCAAACACAATCGCGCATTAATTCATTACTGTGCGATGTAATAGAGATATGGGAATAAGTGGCTTCCGAATAAATGACTGTAGCCTCTTTATCCTCCCAAGATCACAAATATCATTGGCTAGAGTTATAGCACCGCGCGGGGTGCCCCAAGGCAAAAGCTATGGCCCATAATTTTTGCCTTAACTCGGTGTTAGAACATAAAATGTGATTATATCAGAACATGAAAATATCTTAGTAGGTGCGTAAAGTTGTTTGTAATAGATTGTTTCCGGGGGTGAAAATTTAGCTTTTATTTCATAAAAACGCTTTGCGGGTATTTTTATATTGGGGATGTCATTATAAGCTGTTAATGGATTGTTGCTTGTGTATATTTTCCTTCACTGTTACAAAATTGGCTGTTTACAATTATTATTATTATATAATATCTAAACGGCCAATTATTTTTTTTTAATTCTGTACTCTCTACGTCTATTAAAATCGTAATGTACCAAATTTTAAAGTAGCGCATGGCGGTCCAGCCAATTATTTGTGGCATTTTCTAAATATTGTATATGGTGTATATTAATTTATCTAATATACAAAAAATAATTTTTATTTGTTCGTATTTTATGCGCTGCCATATCGTCCATCAGATTGCGCTCGTTAAAACTTTGTCAACTTATTGTTTGCACTTGTGAGGTTATAGGTATATTACAATTACAACTAACTTACAATAGGTGGCGCGCGTATCGTACCGACAAATTTATTTGAAAGTTATTCATCACCAACTTTAATGAGTGTATTATCCTATTTACTCTTCCAAAATTTAAAACGATATTTCGACAATTTTTTTTTCTGTGGCAACAACGCGCCGGGCACTAGCTAGTTATACATAATGTACACCTTTTATAATTGTGTCATCACTATCTATAGACATAAACACAACTTTATTATGGTAGCGAAAATGCTTCTATCTAATGAAATATGATCAGAATATTAAGCTGACTATAAAACAAACTCATAATTCGCAATTATCTATATCTTAATTGCCCGCACTTGGCATAATATCGACATAGCAATTAGTAACTAACACCCATTACTTCCCTAACCCGAGAAACGCTACGGGCTAGTATTTTATTGCTCAAATTCAAAACCGGTTCATCCTCGTCGCGAGTTTGTTACCTGAAAATTAGCAATGTACGTGCAACCCTGAATCATGATCGTTGTATAAAGTCAGGAACCACGTTCCTTATTTTGAATGGACTTTATATTCAAGAAATTTAGATTAAATTTATGAAAATATAGAGAAACTGCTGAAATTTGAAGTTATACGTGCCTTTAGATAAATGTAGTGGTGAAAATTATAGTCAATAAATGTATTAGTATATGTAGATTTACGTGGTAGAGTCATGCTGCAGCTATATTGTGGTTACAGCATGAATGGGTCGGTTCGTCTAAGGTAGGACTTTCACAGAATACCAGCGTAAAATAGCGGCTTAATGCTGCTGTGTTTCGTATGGTGAGTGTAGAGAACCAGAGATCCTTTTTACTGAAAACGAGGCATTCCATCTTAGTTCTTAGGTGTGACAACGCATCTGCATTTTGATTGTTAATTGAGGATAAATGTAGATGTCTATGGGCCACCGCATCCACTTACCATCGGGTGGACTGTGTGCTCGTTTGTCACCCCAATTCTGTATAAAAATAATACTTTGATGCTGCTGACCGTCGAAAGTTTGGGTATCAAGCCATTGGAAGCCATAAATCTACTCTTACGACACCCACTAGGTAAAATAAGGTAATAGATTCTAGAAAATCCATGTTAAGGTTATAATCCAAAGTACGCAATAGTTAGTTCTTGCGCGTTGTACGGAAGTCTCTACAATTGGTATGGATTGACGGTCGCAATACCAGAATTTTCATGTCTTTGACACTGCTTCTCGTCACCTTTCTAATTAAACATTTTTTATATATTAAGGGTGACGAATAGGCACACACTAAGTGGATGCTGTGGCAGATTTTCACAAAATAGTGATGTTTGACAAAAATGGTTGAAAATAATAAAAAGAGAAGAAGCAAGTACTTCGATTAATTTTTTTTCATAGAGGCGCACGAATAGAAAAACTGTAACACATCCAACCATACATGCTTAGTAATGCAATTACACACGCTTATTAAGAATCAAAATGAAAATGCGTTGTCACCCCTGAGGACTTTCTGTATTTTGATTCTTAATCTATGATAAATGTCTTTAGGCCACCGCATCCACTTGTGCTCGTTTGACACCCTTATTTTACAAAATAACTATAAAACATTTCTGGTGGATTTTAGGGCCCCATCGCACGGAACTTATTATATTCTATATTTTCTTTTTTTCAGGTGGTACTGATGCTGTGCCGTCTTCGACCGCAGTACACGTTTTCCCACAGTCGCAAGTCACCACCAGCCCTTCTAGGAATGGTAGCACTTGCGATCGCTCTACCACCGCCATCAGTTCACGAGATTAGACTCGAATCGGATATGTTCGTCACGAGGATTAACTTCGACTTCCGAATAGCGCATTGTGAACCCAGGTACTATAATAATATTGAAACCATATAATTTTTTTAAATAGTTGTCAATTTAGTCTCTTTAGTCCACTATAATATAATAGACTTATGACTTATAGCGATAAAATTAAATAAAAACCACAGAATAGATTTTAATAAAATCTCGACTATGGAATTAAGTGCCGAATGAAATTAAACACGGAGTGGAATTAGTAGGACACGCGGTACAGTCCAAACGCTGCAGCGAGAATGGGCAGAACTCCCAAAAAACTAGTGTAAAATAGCAGCATATTGCTTCTGGAACCGTAGGCCTTTTTACTGTTAAAGATGTATTCCATCTTAGTTCTCTGTTCTCTGTCAGTTATATATTATAAGATAGATAAAGTTTTCTATAGGCTAAAGCATACACTTATTTAGGTCAGTTGTGTGCTCTTTTGTTACGAGTATTTTTACTTGCACAAAATATATCAACAGGCAAAAACAGAATGATGTGTCCAGTCGTGGGACGTTTAGGTATAGGCTGTTATTTACTTTTTCATTATTGACAAGGGCAACCTAGGATATACATAACGAAGTATTTATGTATTACCGTGTAATAGCGGTGTATGAATATCCACTACCCCATATCGTCGTTGATGTCGTAAGAGGCGACAGATGAAAACAAATCAGGAGATGGGCAGCAGCGTCTCCCTAATAACGACAAAAAATAAAAAAAACTGCAGTTTTCAACTTGCTTGCCAAACGTGGTAACTATGGCGAATATACCCCCTATTATGCAATCCATGGGGGAGGCTATGTTCAGCAGTGGACTTTAGTAGGCTGTAATGGATTATGTGTAACCTCTGTGTTTGCATATCTTACGCAATTCATATCTTCGTATAGATTTGTAGTGTCAATATGGTTAAAATATAGAAGACTACCAAGCCTAGCGTCAGCCTCAAGGATTTGTCCATATTTTTTTTAAATATTAGGGAATCACACGAACTAATAGTCTCACAGAACACTAGCGTAAAATAGAAGTGTAATGCTGACGTATTTGCTGTGGTGAGTGTAGAGAACTAAAAAGGGGTTTCCTTTTTACTGGAAATGTGGCTTTGCATCTCAGTCCTCAGGGTTATATAGCTCCTTTTTCGAGTATAGACATAGACATCTATGGGCTACAGGAACACTTGTATTTAGGTCCGTGTCTTCATTTAATCACCTTATTCTATAAAAAAAAATGATCACCTGATAGTAAATGGCTACTGCAGCAATTTGACACTTGCAACCTTTACCTTTACAGTCTATTAAAGTCCACTGCTGAAAATAGGCCACCCACATAGATTACCTCCTAGGGGGGAAGGGGAGGGGGGGATATACGCCATAGTTGCCACGCTTGGCAAGCGGGTTGGCAATCGCTGTTTAGTCTTACGACAAACTACAAATTTAATAAAGAAGATAATAGATGTATTGTCACTTCCAATTGAATGAATGAATAAGACTAATTTACTCAAGATTATTTCTTTTTAAATTTCTTAGCAGGGTGTCGGAACTCCTTGGGTACACCGCTGAAGAACTCACCGGGAAAAATCTCTACGCGCTCTGCCACGGCGAAGATGCCAATAAACTAAGAAAATGCCATGTAGATTGTAAGTATTCTATATTTGACATAATTTAAAAATCTATACATACGAGTATAATAAATCCGTAGAAAAGTTGTGTGTTCACGCTTACGAAACAGTAAAAAAAAAATTAACAATATAACTCTTCCAAATTTAAAATGATGTTTTCACAATTATTTCTTCTGTGGCAGCAACGCGCTGGATACCAGCTAGTAATAAATATGAATTACCTTGTATCTGAAATGAATTATTACTAATTGATTAGCAGTTGCACTCTTGCATCCTGCATGCCTCATCAAGGCACCACGTTGACGTCGTAACGATATCCACATGATGAAATGGAATGATGAATTATCTTACGCCATCATCACGTGGTAATATCATACACATTCTGATCAATGTACGACAAAAGGATATACAAAAGGTTTATAGTTATATGTTGATTTTCCTAACTACTCCATATCTGAACCAGGAAAACTCCCCTTGAAAATGTTTCAATTTGTAAATTCAACATCGTGAGAAGAGATAGTCCGAATGCCTTGTAGCTACTACATATTATTGAACTGATTCATAACAGTATTAATCATCGATTGTTCTTAATAACGACCATCGATGTGTCTGTCGATCGTCCATCCATGACCCAATATGCGTGGTGAAATCCGTCGCAAGTAAATGTCGCAACGGTCAATTTGTATTCAGTAAGAGCCATATAGAAATCCATGTCAAGACGACTGGCGGCTGAAGGTACGTAAGGAGGAAAATTTATGACTCCGTTGAGTTTTGAGGGTAACTTTTGGTTGTACGGAACGATTTCTAATGTCCCAATGTTACGACGTTACCAATTTTCTTTTCCGCGTATTGTTATTCCATTTCATGATGAAGTTTTGAATTTGGATGTTGTTAGCCGTGCACACATACAACGTGTTCGTGTGCGTAGGCTGCGGGCGCTCGGTAGTAGCTCTTCCGAGACCTACGCACACTGACACAATGTGTCAATTCATAACTTCATCCTGAAATAGTACTATACCTCATTTTTTATTTCCCTTTTCTTTTTCTTGTCTTCTCCTATGACGACCATTTTAGCTTTTATTAATTTTGTATTGATAAAAACTTTTTTTATTTATAATAGCCTGTTACTTTAGGCTTAGTATCTATTTGAATTAAGCTATTTTTATGGATTATACGATGTCAAATTTACTTAAGTTTTATATTGACGACGCTAAAAGTCACAAATAAACTTAGCAAATCACATTGAAGTAATAGGTATGTACTACGTAACAGTCATCATAAACAAAATCTGTGCTAAAGTACGAGCAAAGAGTATAGTAACTGTCCTATATAGGAAAGTACGAGGCACCTCTGGAAGGAGGCACACACAGAGTACCATTTTTGGCACAGACTAAGTTAGGAGCCTGTGGGCACTAACGTGTGTTGCAAACGACTAAGTCTTGGTGTCTCTTCTAGTGTAGTTCATATAAATTTAATGAGAAATCATTATACATCTCATGTAAAAATTTTACTCAATGCAAGATTTATACATTTTTATATAAAAATCTTAGAATTTAAATAAAGACTGATATATTCCTCAGTCATAAATCCTAACATACTTCCCGATATCATTATGATTTCTTATTCGTCTAAAAATACAATTTAGACTGACGCCACATGCCGTCTCGTCTCCATAATATGAGCTGTGATTTGAATAATAATTCTTCTACCGTCATTTCAATTTCCTTTCCCTAGGCTCAGTCGTGGGAAATGCCATTCCTTAAAGTTATCTAACATAGATTTAGCCTGACTGTATAACTGAGGTTAGTTTAGTTTATGGTTTTGCTAAATTATGTAAAATTACAACTTTCATAACAAATGAAATTTATAATTCTACTAAAATGTTCGTAATAAATGCAATCTTTACTTTTTATTAACGATTTATCTAATTTTGATTATTGGCCACGTCATTCATAATATGTTAAATAAAAACTACGTGGCAATATTGCAAAAAGAAATATGCCCTAGAATGACAATAAGAATGCGTAAGTCAGGATTCACTTGTAGAATAACACAACATGAAACATAATGAATTGAAGGACAGCAATTATGCAACGGTTTTGTCACCGTTCGCGCCAAACCAAAACAAGATGGCCGACGTTTAGGTACACGAATCACGAACGCGTTAACGTCATAGTTTTTCTCTAGCACCAAAGCCGTTGATAGCTTTACGAGACGATTAATTTAAATTTAACATTCACAATGTCTCTGCAGATGCCGGTCAAATGTGGACACTCCGGGTGTAGAATACCAATTGTAGAAATTAGCATAAAAGTCCAGGCGTTTGTTAGAAAGCGGGTAATTTGGTTACAACTATACGCGGCCAGGATTTCTGATGTTGCCAGTAACGATAACTGACCGCCTGATATTCAAATTTTGTACATAAGGCAATAAAATTTAAAACTTATGTTGGATACTTCCGACAATATAAAACAATACCGCTGAATGCTACCGTGGAATGACAATACTGTTTCTCAATCTAGTTTATATCTTCTACTTAGAAGACTTTCTTTGGAAAATTCCACTATTTTATGGAATAAAACTAATTTCGCGGATTTTATCGCGTTTTATTTTAACTTTTTTAATTCATGATGTTTCACTTTATATCACCCATGGTCACGGGGGTACTGAGGTGTTTTATGACCTGATGTCATCAACCTTCAACTTTTAATTATTATTTTTGGTACGATCTACGCAGAACGAGCTTACAGTATCTTGAAGTAGTATGCTTGAGTTTGGATTTAATTTTATTAATTATGGGATCCCAAGCAGATGGTAGCACCCAGCCATCTTCTCTATTGAAATAAGGATGTTTCCAATAGCCTCGCGAATCATTCTGGGTAGGAATTGGTGTTCTTTTGCAAGGATCTATGGTTTATGAAATCTGATATAATAGTTGGAACGATCCTGTACATGTTGACATACTGCAGACTCTTACTACTTGTATCTCTAGCTATACCTAAATGCTCTTTACGCGTTACAGTATGATCCCAATTTAAAACTAAGCTCTACAACTTATATTTTTGTACCATTTTTTTTAGAAGAGGGGACAAACTCGCAAGCGGCTCACCTGATGGTAAGTGACTACCGCCGCCCATGAACAACTGCAACACCAGTGTAACAAAATTGTTTATCGAAGGTGCATCGCATCGTTGTGCATACAATAAGTTTCATGATACAACTGCCTTTTTTAGCCACAACTAAACAATGTTCTTATTTATGGCCATAAAATTCGGTATTTTCTATCACTTCTCTATTTCCTTCTTACTTACTTAGTTCTGACAATTATTATTCTTTCGGTTCTATTCTGCCATTAAATTCAGTAGTGGTGGGGTGGGCATAGATGTGTGTGTGATGGATGATAGACTCAGAAGGGCTAGAACCCAGAGCCGTAAAGCCAGATAAAAATGTGTGTGATGGGCAGCAGCATATTACTACGAAGCCAATCGCCGCAACTGTAGCTCATATCCTCCTTGAGACAAGGTATGGGGAGGCCTATGTTCAGCAGTGGTTTTTTTAATAGACTATAATGAATGAAATAAATGAATAATGGGCATAATTCCACATACTTAATGTTCGATATCGCCATAAACATAAAACAATTACGTAGATTTGCTTAAAATACCTATGCAAAGACGTAGTGAACCACAACAATGAGTTACAACAATTGACAAATGGCGCCTTTAAAGTTTCGCCCGTTGGACCGGGTCCAAGCGCATCGTTTAAAAAACGCCAACCGACAATAAACAATGCGACAACAAAACCAAAATCTGACTCGGCACTAATGATTCACGTAGCACAATACACGTGTCGTTCACATTGTTTCTGTTCGCAATTAATTATAAGTGTGGTGATAAACTTGTCTCCAAACGCGCTGCAACCACCATTGCTATTATATTTTGTACTGTGAAACCTAAATTACCAAAGTTTAATTTATAAGAAAATATTCACAAGAAACTATCAAAAAAAATTAATATTACTATTTCTTAGCAAATATTAAAAACTATTATCTTGTATTTAAAATAACTCAAAGTTATTTTAAATCTCATGAGATCTTAGACTTTTCTTACGTGGTAGAACCATGCTGCAGCTATATTGTGGTTGCAGCACGAATGTGTCGGCTCCTCCGGGGTGGGACCTCACAGGATACCAGCGTGAAACAGCAGCTTAATGCTGTTGTATTTCGTATGGTGAGAGTAGAGAACCGGAGACCCTTTATACTGGCAACGAGGCATACCTACCATCTTAGTCCTCAGGGGTGGCGACGCATCTGCTTTTTAATTCTTAATTGAGGATAAATGTAGATGTCTATGGGCCACAGCACCCTCTTACCATCAGGTGGACTGTGTGCTCATATGTCACCCTTATTCTATAAAAAAAACAACAAAAAAAAAATAGAACACTATAACTTCAAAACCATGAAACCATAATCAACTTCTTGCGCACTTACGCACACAATACCTCTCTTCTTCTTCTTTCTTTATCAGCCCCTCAAAATCCTGGAACTGGACGCACACATATGCACCCTAAACAAATGACAAAAACCATGTCGTTGATTGCATAAGATTTTAGATGTATCTGTGTATGTATGAGAACGTGGCTTGCTTTCGGCATCATTTGAAATGTACGTAGTGTCGTCACCTTTCTTTGTTGACCTTCTAGATATTCTTTCTTCATTTGTAACAGTTACTGCTTAACACAGGGCCCTCGCATTGAAGGAAATATTTACTATCAGTCCATCCATTACAGCATATAAAAGTCCCATGTTAAGCATAGGCATTCCCCATAAATTGCCTCCTAGAGAGGAATTTGCTACATTTTTGACTATATGGGGTGGATATTCTTATACCGACACTACAGGGTTGATGATGCCGGAGATTTGCAAAAATCCATCGGATTTCCAATCGCTGTTCCAGATATCTTGCATCTTTGGCGCTCATCGTCGCTGGCCTGTATATTTTTCATCTGTATACCTAGATACGTATATCATATAGATAGGTGTATCATCATCTATCGGAGGTTATAAAATTTTTTAGTCATTTCCGATTGTTACCTCTCACGAGACCCACGGGAAGAAACAGGGTGTTGGCTTACCTTACGCCGCTGCCACATGATTACACCATTGATATAATCAGCTCAGATATTCCGAATATAAATAGACGAAATACACATCAACTACAAGAAGCAGTATAAAAATTACAGGGAATGTTCTCCGTTACAGAAAAAACCCAATGACTTTATATGTGGTAGAGCCATGCTGCAGCTATATTAGTAGTATAGTTGTAGCACAAATGGGTCGGGTCGACCGGGTAAGGACCACGCTCTCACAAAATACCAGCGTAAAATAGCAGCTTAACACTGCTGTGTTTCGTATGGTGAGTGTAGAGAACCGGATACCCTTTTTACTGGAAACGAGGCATTCCAGCTTAGTCCTCACGGGTGACGCATCTGCATTTTGATTCTGCATTGAGGATAGATGTAGATATCTATGGGCCACAGCAACCACTTACCATCAGGTGGACTGTGTGCTCGTTTGTCACCCTATCCTATAAAAAAAAACTTTATACTTTTTTTAAATCATAGCAATTATAACTACAATCGTGTGTATAATTTTGTGTTATAAATAATAAATATTTTATTCGATAATAATTCCTACGGTGTGGCACGAGGCTTACTCCATTAAAGCTTATCGAATTTATTGTTTAGAACAATATGAATAATATCGTCATCAAACATCAATTTAGGGTACTAATTCAAGGTCGAGATTAGAAGGCTTTAGGTCACTGCGGCTAACATACCCTTTTATGACTACGTATCGACTTTTGGTTGGTTGATGATTATACTCTGCTCCTATTAACGTTTTGTTTAAAACATTTGGGAACTAAAACGATTTGATGTTCATGGCTTGCTAAGATCTAAATTAAATATGATGAATATTTTACAAGGAACAGGGGCAAAAACTATTGATTACTTCAAAAATAACTAATAAAATGACACTTATCACTTGATACTTAATTTAAAAAGCCCTAAAACCGCATAAATGGTAACGAGACATTCCATCTTATACCTCGGGGGTGGTAACGTCTTTTTGATTCTTAATACACGATAGATGTATGTGTCAGTGGGCCACCGCATCCAATGATGATGAAGTGGACTTTGCTCATTCGTCACAATTGCGACTATTCGATTTCGACCACGAAAACACGTTTAATAACATAGTAACACACTCTTCTTACAATATAACGCTACTAAGGTGAAATACAGTACTCAATTACTTGTCAATTATGGGTGCATGGCATACTTACTGATTTTTTTAAATATATGAGAGCCGTTAGTTAAGTGTTAACCACACGTAGCGCTCGCCGTAAATTTCACAGTACGCGGGCAGCTCGGGTTCGATCCCTGTAAACTGTAACTACTTTTTATTTTTACATAATATATATTTGAAATATTTTTGTTACAGTAATGAACAAAGGGCAAGTGTTAACGCATTATTACCGGGTGATGAACAAGCTGGGAGGGTACACTTGGATGCAGACGTGTGCCACCGTCGTCTGCTCGTCCAAAAACGCCGAAGAACAAAATATCATTTGCGTTAATTATGTCATCAGGTAAGTCAAAGTAGATTTAGTGATATTTTACAAATTTATTTAAAAAAAAACGTTAAAGAAATATTAAATTATTATTATTATTACATACAATAGAAACAAATTGACTAGATTATTATTGTCAGCATAAACAAATTGTATAAAAATATTTTAACTCAGGAGTCCCGCCGCGACAAAAGCACACAAAACGTGGGTAATTTAAAAATAAGTAAAACTGACCCCGAAAATTAACCGCGATAAAATCCGTAAAAATATTTTTATTGAATGCGTAGGTAAAAAAATATATAAGAAAACATAACATAAACAAAGAAAAAATAAAACACGAAACTTTAAACAGTTTTTTCTGTGTTCTGTAAATTTTGAAAATGTAACTTCTTCATCAGGACGATTTGAATTACCACTAGGAAGACAGATTGGCGATTGTAGTGCTACGTCTCGCTCCTTTTACGACATTTCCCGTCGCCGATCTTGGGTACCGAGTGGTCTGGCGTCATGGTGATTAACCGACGAGACGATTAAACCGCCTTCTATGGAAAGCCATGCGACTCTTAAGGCATTTTTCACAGTCGCTTCTTACAACACCCACGAGGTAAAATGTGGTGACGTGATGACTTCTCGCCGCCGTTCCATTCGTTTTAAATTTAAAAAAAACCCCAGATTGTTTTTGTTTTCATAAAAACTGCCAGTATTTATAAATTTGTAAATTTCTTTTTCAGCGGACGCGAATATCCCAATACGGTAATGGACTGCTGCCAGTTAGAAGAAAGTGTCCAAGGAGTGAAACGTGAAGAAACAACTGGCGACCCAGAGAACGGACCACCAGACGCTGACACTCCAGGAGCTCCACCTCCACCGCCACGCCATACCACAGAAAGAACCGAAGCATCGACCAACTCTGAATCTGCTTCAACTGTACCACCAACATCAGATGTAACACACCTAACTAGACTTAACGACACCCAGCCATTACCTCTCCATACTAACACAGAAAGAACCTCACCGATGCCGGCAAGAAGACTGAAAAAACGAAAGCACACTACCGACTGTGAAGAAGACACAGAAAGAGACGAAGACAGACGGAAGAGCAGTTCCAATCCCGGCGCAGCAATATCTCCCGCTGAAAGAGACATGACGAAAACAAACCTAGCAATGCCAGAAGGGACTAGTGATGCAACTTCAGTGAGAGACTTGGAGAATGCAATGTCCAAACATTTGCCATCGTTGGACGGTAAGGAAATTTCGCATAGGCCAACTGACTTTTCCACGGACGCTCTACTAAAGCAGCAACAACAGAAATCAACGATTCAATGGATAGGCGCACAAAATCATCACCTAAACCACCTCAATCGACAGATACCTGGCAACCACACCCCGAATCCAGCGTCGGCGTTATTAAGACAACTTTATGCGAACAGGGAGAGCGTTATCCGTAGTAACTTCTTGGGGGATGGAAGGGGTGGTGGATATTACTCCAGTGACGGTCAGACTGGACCACTCCCCACACCACCAGGAAGTGAAGGATCGGGTTATGGAGAGCAACTCGGTCATAAAAGCACCGAAATCGGGTCCCTAGCTTACACCAGTTACGGTGATTACCATTCGACAATGACCCCACCCGGATCAGTTTCTCCTAGAGATAAACAGCAATATGCAATATCATACGATAATAGCGCTTATTCCGATGCATTAAGGCATTCGTATTTGGGTGAAGCTCCTTTACCGTTAAAGCCCCAAGCCTATTCGGCAGTTCCAGGGGCGTTAGATTATGCGTCCCCATTAGATCAATCTCAGTTTTTCCATCCACCATCATCATTCCATCTCTATCATCCCCAAGCGCATTCTACGCATCCATCTCATTCGCACCAACCAGTAGATAAGACAGCGCCACCAAATACAAATTGGTACTCCGCTGGGTCATAGCCATATTCGCTATAGTAGATATTATTGGAATCCTAAACGTTAGCCAAATGAATGGCGTTGTTTCAATTGTTTGTTCAAAATCGTTATTACCAACGGTTCTTTTGTTATCGTTTAAGTTTATGAGACATGGTCACGAATAATTTTTAGATAATTTGAAGGAACTGAAGCGTGCAATTTCTTTATTATACACGGAAGCGAAATATTAACATATATTTATGTTTTTTTCTTTTTAAAGTGACAATCAGTGAAAGTGTCATTTAGAAGTGTTTGTGCCAAAAACTGGTGCTCGCCGTATGTATGTATCATTCGGCTTGATTGCAAAATGTGCAATTACTACTTTATAACATTGCTCATGTATGTACTTAATATTAAAAATATTATATTACAGAAAATTCAAAATATTCTTCCTTGGCGTTTTCTAATATCTTTTGCTATGGTGTATTTAGTACAATAATAATCATTATCTGTAATTTAAATAAAAATATTAGCAACCTTATTACATTGTAGAAAGGTGTACGACAGAACTAAATATTTTATAATGGATTTAAGCACTGGCTGCAATGTACTAGAAAAACATAAAGAACGCGATGTAATATTTTTTTAAATAGTAGTAATGCTAATAAACATTACAAATATTCCCTTAAAACCAACAATTTAAAAGCAAAATCTGATCATTACAAAAATGGCGACAAAACTAAAATTATTTGAGTAACGGCCATTTTGATTAGACAGACGAGTGGTTAGGATTTTTATTAGCACCTCAGACCAACGGAGGTAGATGGAGGAGATAAGTGACGTATAAACAAAAACCATGTTCAACTTTCTTGACATGCACGCACACACACATATTTCTTCATTCTTTTTTTACCAACCCGTAAAAGTTCACTGCGGGATGCACACATAATAATATGTAGATATCTAAAACCATGTTGTTGGTTGCAAAAATGATTTTAGATGCATATGTGGACGTGAGTGCGTATTTTTTACAATAAGATAAGTTTTGGCTTGGTTTTTGTATCACTTGAAATGTACTCAGCGCTCCGTCTTTTTTTTTTTGTTGGTCTGAGGTTATCATTTGTTTCCTCGTTGACACTAAATGTTCATAGACATTTAATTACAAAATTACGCAACTTTCACGTATCAAAATTTATTTTGAACAGTTATTACAATGATATCATCAGCATGTTGATTTCTCGTCTTTTTAGTTACCGCCAAAGATTTTTACTAGGACAATGAAAATAAACCAGTAATAATTTAATATATATTTATGGTCACAATGCGCAGAAAACTACCCATTATGGACGTACTTTGGGTAATACGTCATGAACCTACTCATTTTATAAGCTTAGTATAATTTTTGACAACGACTTACCCAGAAAATGACAAGAAAAATACAGTATTAAATATTTGATAATATTGGATGTGTTAACTTCCAAAATGGTAACCGCTATTCATATTGTATTTTTATTAATTTTAATCATAGCAAATGATATTGTTTTCTTGAAATGTCAAACTGAAGCTATGTTGTATAGCTTGTTGCATATCAATTATTTTTTTTAAACGTAAGCTTTCCTGTAAATTATTGTACAATAGTATTTCACGACTGTTCTTAGGATAAAATGTGACTTGAATTCTGTAAATTGTAGGAGTTAGGTGTTGTATATTATTTCACTATTGAAAATAAGATTTCATTGTACATAATATTGTTTGCTAGAATATGGTCACTTTTTTAGTTGTCAAGGCTCAAAGACTTTTGTTACATTTGTTTTTTTTTTATATAAATAGATGTTATAAATATGATAACATAAAATAAAACATGTAAATTATTATTATATACAAATTACATCGAAACCCTTTTTGGTATTCTCGATTGTAGTTATAATAAAATATACTTATTTAAGTTGAATACAAAGGTTATCACCAAAATCATGTTCAAATCTTGAACTCGCCATTTTGAAATTATCATTTAGGTTTTATTTTTTGTCTTCATGACCTTAGACCAACAAACAAAAAAGACGGAGCGCATTTTTCGACATTACTAAAAATGTACGCAGTGCTCCGGTTATCTTTCTTTGTTGATCTGATCGTGACAAATATTTATTATTTTATTCATTTAAAAAATACTCAAAACATTCCAGTTTATTCCACGTGACATTAAATAAAACTGTGAAAAACGCATGTAATTTTATAGTTAAAAATTAGATAATATACAATAATAATTAAATTCGTAATGTATTCTATTACTGTGCAATAGTAAGTAAACGTTTTGTTTTCGTTCTGATTTATCTAAAGGCTTCGTTAATATATCGTAAATTTAAGCAACTATCATTAAAATTGTAATAAAACTGTAATTAATATAATTAAATTGGGAATAGGCTTCTAACGCGATTATCTGTTACGTTTAATTATTTTCTTGTACTGAAAAATTTTTCGATTCAATTTCTATTTCAGATTTTTTTTTACTATATTCGATGAAACGAAAATGAAAGAAATTTTATTTCTCAAAATAAAATAATTATTAAGAATTTTCAAGTGACTGTTATTATTTTCTCATTTTCAGCATAAGCCCTATTTAACCGATAATAATTCTGCAATAATTTAATATCTTCCTTATTTACTTAAAAATAATAGATTCCATCAAATTACGAAATAAAGTGTTAACCGATTTTAGCCAATGGTCACAACTACAGAAATCTACCTAAATAATAAGGATTTCTGTAGTCACAACTTCCAATAATCGGAAGTTTGCAACTGAACTGAGTAGCAAATATTATTTATACTGTCTCTCATGCAACAAGTGCACGTGGCAACCATTGTGACAACACATCCCATAAAACTATATTAAAATGAACAATCATCATATGAAAAGTAAATTTATTTGTTCATGTGTTTTGATCGAAGTTTGAATAAGGTTTTACAGGATTTGGATAAACGATTAATAATCGATTGTGGTAAAATCGATTGTTAACAAGTGATAATCGAATATTAAAAATTCGATTATTAACAACACTATAAGCAAGGTTAGAATGCCATTTCAAAGACAAGGACAATAATTACAACACAACGAAACAAAACGAAGATGAAAACCTAATTTTTCAATTTTCGCACAAATGTTGGCTCTGGCTAGGCCCCCAAGACCTGTTATGAAGTAGCCATAGCCATATACTCTGCAGCAGTGCTATCATATAACTCTGATCAAAAGCACTTCGTAACTGCGTTGTTTTTTCATCATGATGACACTAACACCTAAAATAACATATTAATATAATATAAAAAAGCCACTTTGGAATGAAGTGAAATATTTGAGAGATCATCATAGCGGAGGAAGTTAATTTGTTAGAAAAGTGTGGAAATTAATGTTTCTTTCTGATATATTACTGATATTTTATATTCATTAGATTATTAATGGATAAACCAAACTATGGATATTCCTAATAGTAGAATTAAAAAAATCAAAGAATACAACACTCACGCAGTTTTGTGTATATATACATATCGTACACTAGAAATCGATAACTATTTTTTTAATTATTTAAATAGCTACCTTTCAATGATGATGACACTGTGTGACCATCTGCGTAACAATTAAGTTTACCTTAGACCCAACTAGCGACATCTGGTGAAGATGATCCTTAAATTCGCAATAAAAAAATATTGAAGGTCACTTATCGGGATAAAAAGTATCCTATCTCTCAAGTTGGACCAAACTGCACACAGTGTGCAAAATTTCATTGAAATCAGTTAAGTAGTTTAGGAGTTCGTCGAGGACAATGTGACACGTAATTTTTATATATAAAGATATATAATGTACTTCAACGGTTGCTATACACACTATACAGGGTTATATTGCAATAACCGGCCAAATAGGCAGGTGAAAAAAAATTAATTTAGAAATTCTCAAACATTGCCCTTTTTATCTTTCAAATTCAAAATGCGTGGTAATGCATTATTTTAACTGATTTTACTGCGCACGCACACTCGTATGGGTCGATCGGTAGGCAAGAACGTTGTTGCCCATAAATGACATTAAATTTGAGATAATTTCAAATAAGCCTTATTTACTCGTATTTTTTAAAGCTGCAATAACGGTATATCATTACTTAAATATATGAACTAAAGTTTAAAATTTGGCTACTCTTTGAAAAATAACCCCGTATATATACTTCAATAGTTTTGACATGAGCGGTACGATTAAAAGTGATAAAGATAGTTGGCCGCTATCTGCATATAAAGTGTCGGTTCGTGCCATAAGGATTCAAATAGAACAACAGGATAAACGTAACATTACGTTACTACGTTCTGTCCGGTGAGAAACAAGAACTGAATACCCAATTACTGAGAGCGTGTCAAATGCCAACTGGCTTAATTGATAGCGGAAATTACTTCCAAATATTTCTAGCATGGATCAGTAAGCTAAAGTGGCAACGGGCCGACCATATAGCTCGAAGAACCGACAATCGATGGAGAAAAAAGGTTCTCAAGTGGCATAGTGGCATCCTCATACTGGGAAGCGTAGTGTAGGACGGCCCCCACTTGCCGAAATGACTGGTAAGAGATACCGGAATTCAATGGAAGCTAGTGGCTCAAGACCATGCTTGGTGGCCTTGGAGGAAGCCTATATTCAACAGTAGACTTGTGATAGGCTGAAATAACGATGATGAAGACAATAATGATTTCGAACACAAACCCCACTAACTAGAGAAACAGCATTACCAGAACATGAAGCACCCACTTAACACCAGTAAAGTCCGCTTTGTCTCTTTCTACTCCTTAACTTTTACAGAAAACAAGGCCTATACTCAGTCCGCAGTAGTATCGTTAGTTACTTTAACTTTTCAAGGCTATCATTTGGGAAAACGGTATTGCCATACTCCGGTGAACTCAAACTAACTTTGAGAAAACAAAATGAAAATAATAAAACAGAAGATATTATATGAATCAATATTAAAATTTATTACATTATAGAACACAATTCATAACGGTGTTTATTCACAAGCTAC